AGCTTTATAAATCCAAACAGAGGTTTCATTTTGGGCAGGAAAACTCGAAGACAAGATTATAAAACATCTCCAGGTGACTTTCTTGGCAACCAAACCGGCTTGGCCGCCAGGGAGCAGCCCAGGGAGTGATGCTCCTGCCGACTGCCAGCCCAGCCGGGACTGCTGTTGGACCCGGCCCAGGGAGACACATGGCTGGCTCAGCTGCCCATGGGCGGCCCAGGGAGCGATGTTCCCACCAGCTGCCAGCCGCCACCCCCAATGAGACTGCCGCCCGGACCGGCTCGGGGAGGTGCGTGGCCAGCTTGGCTGCCCAGGGAGCGATGCTGGCACTGGCCACCGCCCCAGCCAGGACTGCCACCCAGGGGGCAGCAGGAGGAAGAAGGGGAGGAGGAGGGCGAGGAAGCCAATGCCGCCGGTGGGGCTCCGCACTGCCCGGGCTTATCCTCCGCCCATCTGATGTAGCCGCAGCGGGGGCTGCCAGCTCCTCCACCAGCCCGACTGCTCCCCCTGGTGCCCCTCTTGCCCCGCGCCAACCCGAGCCGCCCGTGGGGCAGCAGGAGGAAGAAGGGGAGGAGGAGGAAGAGGGTAAGGAAGCCGCCGCCGCCGGGTCCCAGGAGGAGGCTCTCCTCTCCTATCATTGCTGCATCTCCCTCTTCTTTCCTGGCAGCCAGGATCGCAGGGGCTGCTCTCCCTTGGGCCGCAGCTTGCAGGAGGGCTGGCCCACTCAGCAGAGCCTCCAGTGAGCTGCTCTCAGCGGGGATCCTGGGGCTTCCCTGTGTGGCTCCACGGTCACATGCGCCTTGAATGGGGCTAGCCCAGTAAAGGTACTTCCTGGCTGCACTTCTCCCAGGGACAGGGCACCCAGGCGCAGAGCCAATCAGGAGTCCACATGAGAGAGAGAGAGAGAGAGAGAGAGAGAGAAGGGAAGCGTAAGTGCCTCTCTGTCTCTCTCTCTCTCTCTGCAAATGGTGGAGTCTCCGGAGCCGCAGGTGATGGCTCAAAGAGCCGCATGCGGCTCCGGAGCCGCAGGTTGCCGGCCCGTATTCTAGTCCAATTGTTCATCATCCAATAGTATGACTAATGCAATTTCTGTCTGAACGAAAAAATATCCATATCTGCTTCCTTTAGGGCACTGAAAGCATACCATTCTCTCTTTAAACTTCCTCCAAAAGTAAGATTGATGATTAAGCAGTATTTATCTAAGATAGTTAAATCCAGGCTCTTGAGGAGAGAATGAAGCACTGCCACTTTTAATATACCTAAATAGACAAAATAGACAAATTGTCTTCTGCTACTTCACCAATCTTCCAAGAATGCTCTCTATACCCAAAATTATCATTGCCTTTGATGGGTTATCTTTAGTGGTGGGTTATTTCCAACCTAGCACCAGCTTATCATTTTTATTTTGCAAATGTGTGCTTGTGTGACACAAGGTGAAGTTTTGTAAATAACATACAATTTTTAGGGGTTTTTTGTTCTTGCTTTGCAGTGTGCTGGCTTTCCATTTGCCTGTAAAATGTAAACATGTAAACAATTATATCAATGTTAAACACTGCTGTAAATTAACATTACATCAATTTTAAAATTTTTGAGAGAATAGATAGGATATAGATGTCCATCGAAGTATTTCTGCTTACAAGATAACTTTGGTGGTTTCAACTTTAGCTACTGAATTTGAGTCACAAATCTACTTTGTTCTTTTTTTAAACTCTATTATATTGTTTTGGTATCATGAACATTGTCTTGTCGATATGTAGAAAATAATATTTATGTCAGTATTATAGTATTACACTATTACACTATTTTAGAATGAAGGCTGTATGATGGCTTTATGCTGCACTAACTTATAAGGAACTTTTTTCATTTATTTCTATATTATTTATTTTTAGAAAATTCTAAACTCTTCCCAAGGATTCCATGACAGTATACATTCAATTATAGAAACATATACAATACAATCAAGCAGAACCCCCCCCCCCAAATCCTGAGAGTCAAAACAATTCTTATTATACTTATACTTACATACTTATATATATACATCATTTCCCTTTTGGTATAAGCAATATTATGAAAAGAACATAGAAGAAATAATAAATTATAAACCAAAACCAACAGGGATAAAATAAGAAAAGAAAAGGAAACATCTGGCTTATGCTAGTATGCTAGCTAGCATGGTAGTTTGCAAGGCCAGGAAATTATGTAAAATATTTTCCATAGTTCCCTAGCCTTGCAAACTATCCTTCCTTTCACTATAATTATATACTGCTTTGTAAACTATCTTTGTTCTTTAAACTTCTCACCTATCACTTTCTTGCCTGTCAATTGTCCTCTGTCCAACCATACCTCTATCAGGGACCCCTACATACAACATTGCAAAAGAACTAACAAAAAAGCTTGGGCATCTCACAACACTCCATTAACTCTCCACTATGCCTTCAAATAAATAATATATTCACTTGGTGGTATAATTATTTCTTCCTCAAGTCAAGTGAAAATTTTTTTGTTTGTATATGCCTTTTCATTCACTGTGTGCTTAAATCAACTAGACTTCAATGCTTACCATGCATTTTTGATTAATTCTATGCTATTTCTAAGTTTTTATTTATAAGCTTGTCTGAGCACCATGGCCGAAGAGAAGCTAACAAATATTCCTAAATAAATTCAATCAATTACTGGTTGTTTTATTTGTATGGATTAGAATCCTAAACACTTTTTCATATACATAAGAAAGCAAAGATAAATTCAGCACATAGATTTATTTATTCAAAATATGTGTTCTATCTCCTTTGGGCTTTCAATTCAATTTCATATAAAATGGGAAGAAAATGTTGCAAATATAATATAAACAAGAAGCAAATCTGGTTTTAATACAATAGTACTGAGTATAGCATAGACTTTTTACAATAGGATTAAATAGTATGCAAATTAATGAGGATACAAATAATTTCAATTATTTTAAAACATATTCTGCTTTGATTCATCTATGATAAATCTGATTAAGAACTTTTATGATCAACTAACAACACCCTTAATTATTGCTATTTCATTATATAATAAATAATAACAGTAATAATAATAATAATAATAATAATAATAATAATAATAATAATAATAATAATAGTAATGTTGGAAGTGACCTTGGAGGTCTTCTAGTCTAACCCCCTGCTCAGGCAGGAAACCCAGTCTTTTCTTAAAAACTTCCAGTGTTGGAGCATTCATAATTTCTGGAGGCAGGTTGTTCCACTGATTAATTCTTCTAACTGTCAGGAAATTTCTCCCTAGTTCTAGATTGCTTCTCTCTTTGATTAGTTTCCATCTGTTGCTTCTTGTCCTGCCCTCAGATGCCTTGGAAAATAGGTTGGCCCCCTCTTCTTTGTGGCAACCCCACAAAGCTATCTATTTATCTATTTACTTTGATTTATTATGTACCTGAATGTACTCTTACATTCTCGTCTTTTAAGAAGAATAGAACAGAGTATTTACAGATTCGTAAAAGTAAAAAAAAAGCAAAAGAGTACATGAGGGTTGCATATTGTAGTTATTGAAAAATAAGATTACTTTGTTCAACTATCCCTGCTCCTTAAGAAATGTCATGCTGAAAAGCTACCATAAAATACTGAGCTACTGAAATCTTTCTGGAAATAAATTAATGAAATGAAACTTAATTATCAAATACATTTCCATTATTTAAAAGATTAAAAGTCTAGATAACCTGATATGTATTCTACTTGATTCAATTTAGTAAAATATGCAGAATAATGGAACAATTACATGGCTTTGTAAATCTGCAATTCCATGTACTGTATTCTTAAATTAACAATTTACATGAGCCATGAGAATGTTTCATTACTTTGTAGACTTCACTAAACTGAATCAAATACAACAGCTAGACTAGAATTTAAGTAAGGGATCCAAACTAGCTTTGAAATTCAGGCCTTGTGTAGCCTGAAATCAATACTGAATACCAGATGTTTAGCTGTTTGTGGACATAGAGCAGAAGATGCACCAATTCATAAACATGCCAACAATATAGTTTCTTCTAAATTTAACATTGGGCAGCAGGTGTAGATAACTCAATATTAGCACACTATACATTCATTTCAGATGTGAATGCAACCTAATAGACATAAAACATTAACCAATTTCTTGCAGAATCTAAATTGTATCCTTTAAAATATCCACCAGAATTTCTGGAATAATATCTATTGCAGTGATACATATCTGCTAAGCTACTATGAAGCAAACTGTTAAAGGTATTAACACCAGCCATTAAATGTTTCCCTATTCTGAAATACTGTGAATATGGGATTATGGCATATGTCATATTGCTTGGATCTGTCCTGACAAAATTGAAAGAGTACCTAAAAGAACAATAGTTGATTAATAAGAAATCTTATACACCACTACCTGCTTTCACCCTATTTCAAAACTACTCAGCTTGCACAGGCCAAATCTAAAGGTTCCAGATTTACATACCAGATTTTTAAATTAGGTAGGGCTATATATTGTAAAGCATTTGATGACAGAAATGCAAAATGCATATATTTAAAGAAGTAATTTTTAATAGCTTCATTTTGTCTGACTCCTATGACATTTCAAAATCTTCAGTGAGACTAGTGAAGACATATTTATACTACGACCTAAGTCAGGGGTAGGCTGGCTCAGGAATTCTGGGAGTTGAAGTCCACAAGTCATAAAAGAGTCAAGGTTGCCTACCCCTGACCTAAGTAGTCATATGCATGGTAGCTAAATCCCAGTTCAGTTCATGGATCATACCAAGCCAATGTTTGTTTAACTTAGAATTTATTAAATAAACCATAGTAAGCTGTATCCATAAAATAACTCATGCTTTCTAAAACATAGTGGTTGGGTTAATAAAACCCAACATAAAATGTTTTGGAATGTGACTTATTTTCAGTTAAATATGCATAAGCATGCAGCCTGAATATTTCATATTTGAGCCAGCAAGATTCTATTAACAAATGAAAAAAATTACTTACATTTTTCGTAAACTAGGGAGCTTCTTAAATATTCCAGTAGCTTCCAGAATTGAAATATCATTATCGTGTAGACGACTTTTGAAAAATAAAAACAAAAATATTGAAATATCTTTGGCTCCAAATGCCTCAGCAACTACATATATATTCATTGCAGAATATTGCGAAAAGGAAAGCTATATAGTTGTGAATGTGTTGAAAGAGATTGGAGAAACACAGTTTCCAATCTCCTCAATTATGAAGTTCCCTGGTTGTTATGGTGCTGTCCATCCTTTTTTCTGTTTAGCTTACTTTAAAAAGTTTTTATAAGAACAAAATGAGATGAAAGTCAGAAGCCTTGATTCTCAAAGCAGGAGACATCTGGACACATCCATGTAGTGTTCTTGGCACAATATTGAAATTCTTTGCTGTTACGTCCTACAAGGATGTTTTACCAATTTCCTAATCCAAATTACAGGTTGGAGATTCTATAATATTTTCCTCATAGTTATCTGTCCATGTATTAAACAATTCAAAATCAATTTAGATTTTCAAGATTGGCTGGGTTCTGTCAGTAAACATTGTCTATTGATGTATTTGATAACATCTGGCTGGAGCCATAAAAATTAATGCTTTTTATAGTGAAGCATTTTATTTTTTTTTCTTACAAAAATATTACACTTACAGATCTGTGGTATATTCTGGAAGGTGACTGGGGAGCCTAGTAAGCTTTTGGTTGGAACAGTCCACAAATGTTCCCTCACAGCGGCATTTCTCAGGACAGATGAGGTCCATAAAACACTCCCCACTGAATCTACTCCTGTAGTCCTCTGAACCTGCAAAATTGAAAAATTCTAGGTAAAGAGATGCATTGCAAAATACTAATAAGAGTAATATCCCAAAATACAATTGACAAGAACACTTCCGTTTATTCTGGAATGTCACAAGAATGAATTGAAATCATTAACTATGCTTTGCATTATGCTTTGAAACAATCAGAAAAGTGCACTTTTATGTGAATCTAGAGGGCGATCTGTCTTCTTTCCAAAAAGAAAATTTAATTTTTTTTCTTGATATTAATAACTATCTACTGGCAGATGATGCAGTAGAATGAAGGTGGGCTAATGTCAGTCACATTAGCATAGCATAGAAATCAGTGAGTCTGTTTTATGAGTATAAATATTTTAACAACATAATACATAACTGAAACTAAAATGAGTTCAAGAAATTCTACTTTCTTTAAAATAGGCCACTGTATAATCAGTAAGAACTATAACTTAGTCTGCTATTGCACTACAACTGTCAAGTACATTGTGTTTGCTTAATGAAATGCTATTTCAGTTTCTTTCTCCAACCTTTTCAATGAATAAGAACTATAAATGGGATACTTGAGCTTACCATTGCCAAATTATTAATGGATATGCAATCAAAGGTTTGTCACAATAGATCCAATGTTACTTCAATGTTTATTATGTGAACCATCATCTTTTTGCTGAAATCATTTGTTACATTCAATCATTCTACTAAATCTTAGTTTTTCTTCTTTTTCAAGAACTTCATAACTTAGTTGCACTTCCAAAATGTTAACTATGAATGCCAAAAGCATCTATCTCAAAACACTTTTTAAAAAAGGAATTTGAAAAAAATGAGAAAAAATAAGCTAATCAACAAAAGGATTCTGAAAATATTTTCAATAGGATTTTGCTCAAGCTAATATTAGAATAACCATTTTTATACATTCTGAACAAATTTTTGTACATACATTCCTGTACCAAAATGGCCAAGCAGAACTCTTCCTATAAATAAAATTCCTATAAACAAAAAAACCCTTCGTATAAAGGCTGCAAACAAACAGACGGTATATAGCTGAGAGAACCCAGTTATGGAAAGACAAAGTTCATAAATGGATTTGATATTCAGATAAAGCTAAAGTTTTCTTACTGAAAAGTTATCAATAGATCTTGTTTCAAAGAAAATGTATTTCAAACAAAATATGATATACACTATTATTATTCTTTAAGTATTTCATATATAGGATAAAGTTTTTCCTCACTCTATAAGTACAGTTTCCTCTTCTCCTCCCTCAGTGTTGTTGTATGGTCTTATTGTTTAATATAATTCATTTTAAGTGGGAAACCCAGTGCTGAAATCCTGGAAGTACACCCATCTTTTTAGAAATATAATTAATAAAGTGGACATTTATTTATTTGTTAAATTTATTTGCTACTTGTCTCACCATGGAGCTACTTTAGGCAGCTTACAACAATAAAAAGGAAGAAATGAAAAGAGCACGAACAGAATAGAAGATAATATATCAATAAAATAAACAATGAAAAAGAGCTCAATGAGAAATACAACTATATGATTACCCCCCCCCCCCAAAAAAAGATGACAGGTAGAGAGCAGAGAACAGGAAGGGGGGGGGATTTACTGTGTATAATATTGTGATTTGAGGCCTGTTTTTTTTTTTTTCACTCTAAAAAAAAAGAATTAAAAAATTAAGCCGATTAGGATATGGCATTTTCTTCCTCATGCTTGGTTCAGATGAAATAGCAACAACAGGAATCAGAAATGTTTTCTTAATAGCTACAAATATATATACATACACAGAATTTTAAAAGTGAATCATGAAGAGGACTGTAGAATGTGATCAACACTCCTATCATTATCAAGTATGCCAAGCTACCCATCAGCCTACAAACATCAGCAATCAGTTGCCAACAGGAGGAAATTTATTATTTAACCTGAGACTCAAGATCACTTGGACAGGTGGCAGTTCTATCATGTTATTCCCATTAGAGAAAGTAATGTGAAAGCCAGCCATCTGGCTGTGCTTATTTGTGTCCATCCATCTCTACTTACATCACTTTATCAGACATGCTTCCCTTGGCTTTAAATAGATAAGTTTCAGGTCAAGAGATGTAACACTAAGGATGATGTACAATTATTTTTCCATTAAAAAAATAAAGATGGGAGAATATGTATCTACAGTAGAAATCTGTGGAATAGCATGAAAGCTATGGAACAGTGTTACTTGTAGAACTTTAAGAATGAAAACACCTTGGAAAGGATATCTTTTTTTTTAAAAAAAAAGATTTGGATGAAAAAATGTAAGAAGTACAAAATCAGTGTTAAAGTACACTGGTACATATCTTACATTATATAAAAGCCCTAGTGGACAGTGGTTAGAATGCAGTATTGCAGTCTAATTCATTGCTCACTGCCAGGAGTTTGATCCTGACTGGCTCAAAGTTGACTCAGCCTTCTATCCCTCCTGGGTCAGTAAAATGATTGTTGGGGGCAATATTCTGACTCTGTAAACTACTTAGAGAGGGGGCTGTAAAACACTATGGAGTGGTATATAAGTCTAGGTGTTATTGCTATTGCTATTATTTACCCCTATATTAGCTTTCATTATTGTTTTACTCAAAATGCCTGCTATGAAAACAATTCAGTTCAATTGAGAAAAGGCTACATTCTGAAACTCAATAAAACGAGACTTAATTGTTCTATTGTAATATACAAAGTCTACTGTAATTGACATTATTTTTTGGGGAAGATATTTTGTTTTTCATGGGGGAAATGCTGAGACCATGCTCAAGAAAACCAGCTTCTCAATTCACTTTTCAGACAGAAATATTAAACATAAGCTAAGAATTGAATTTTTGACAAAAGGTCACAGCAAAGTTAAACCCACTTTATTTTTTGCAGCCCGAGGTAAGTATAGGACTACCAAATGACAAATTATTATGATGTAATTGGATTACTTCAGCCCCTGGGACACTGATGATCTGCAATATACAGTACTATCATATAGTTAGAAGAATTTTGTATATTGCAAAGTATGTCAGAAATCAACAGAACAATAGAAAACAGTTACTATAGAGACCAGAAGACTTGATATATATTTCAAGGAATCCAGGGATTCCTTGAATATGTTACAAAAGTTCAGGTCAACAGTTCACAGGTGGAAGTTGCCTTGCTATTTATTTATTTATGAGACTTATATACCGCTTTAAGTGCAAGCACTCTCTAAGCGGTGTACACCAGTAAGCAATGTGTGTGTGTGTGTATATATATATATATATATATATATATATATATATATATATATATATATATATATATATATTTACATTGCCCCCAACAATCTGGGTCCTCATTTTACCTACCCCGAAAGGATGGAAGGCTGAGTCAACCTTGAGCCGGTGAGATTTGAACCGCTGACCTGCTGAACACAGTCAGCTAAAGTGGCCTGCAGTACAGCACTCTAACTGCTGCGCCACCTCGGAAACTATTCAGTTTCCTGTGTAAGATTTGAACTCAAGGAAATTGGTTGGTAGTTGCAGGTTTCCTGAATGGTGTCAATTAATTGATGCCCTTGATGTGAACCAATCAAAACAGAGATTACACCATTCCTAGCAACAAATTAAATCAATGTCTCCCAGAAAATCTCTAAACATCATCCAATCCCCAACCCCAAGACAAAATTTAATACAGACTGCAAGGGAATTCCCACTTTTGAACCATGGAAGCGAGGAATCCTTACTGGGATGTAAGCTGAAATGTCTGCAAAAATCTTTTATAACTTCATCTCCTGAACACTGGAGAAACCATTTACTAATTACGTACAGTCAGATCACCTGTTCATCTTCTAACCTTCTCCTATGTTATATATCTACAGACAAGTGTGTATATTTAGCATATAATTTTATTTTGTTGATAGCAATGGCATGGTCATTATAGCTGGTAAATGGCAAGTATACCTACATTGTAAAATTTTAGTAAGTTTTTGTGTTGACTCCATAGCAGATGCACAGTTTAGATGACAGAAAGAGCACCTTCAGAAGGTAGGCATTATAGAGATGAATTAGATATTAGGTGGTTACATGCATATTACAATGAATTTGTAACAACTATACTCTCCAAATACACAGCATGGAACAACATCAAAAGTGCATCTTTATTCTTGGCCAAGAATACAGTAATTTCCACAATTCTACTTACTGACTATAGTTCTCTGTATTTTAGAAAGAATTATATTGCAACTGAATGTCATTCTGTGCAACACAGTGACTTTTCTTAAAGTACATGGTTGCTTAAACACATATAATACTGCCCTGGAATTATTTAATAATGGGAAGCATTCTGTACAATATCACATTATTGTGCCCAGCTTACAATATAAAGTAATAAAGCTGGCATCCTTCATGAAATGACCACTGAAGCTGGAACATAATTTAATATCTTTAGATACTCAATTTGTCCCCTTAAAAGGAATAATGCCACATGCAGGCTATTTTCAAAAACGCTATTTGAATGCTTGACTGATCTGTGGGCTTATAGTGAGATCTGCTTCAAGCTAGGTAATTGTATGAAATACTATGAAACTCTATTGTTACAGTTCTCTTTATCATGTGTCTGTTCTTCTTACTTTTCCTTTCACAATGAGGTCATCTCTCACCTTTTGATGCTTCTGAAAATAGAAGAAGTATTCCGGCATGCCATGCTGCAGGAAAGCATGGAGCCTTCCATGGTGCTTGACAGAACCATGTTCAGTTTGTATTGTTCTACCACATGGTTAGATCAAGCACAAAGGAAAATCCCATTAACAGGCAGAGTCAGTGTTAAGCAGCCGCCAAAGAAAGAAGAGTGTTGAGAAGAAGTAGCATGGAGAAGCACAAGCTGGAGATTTCATTGTGAGCTGGCTGTCCATTTCTCCCATGCATAAAGGAGCTGAAGTTCAAGAAGTCAAATTTATTGCTACAAAGGCAAAAAATAAATTTGTATTGTACAGTGAGTGTAGAAGAACAACTTCTGGACCCTTTGGGGATTG